CGTCTCCTCTGACCGTGCAAGAAATTCGATTTGATGTGTGTGCTTAGACAGGTGAAACTAGGCAGGTCTGGGGGACGAGGTCGGTAGGACGCGGCGCGCCACCGACCTGTCGTATAAACGGTCTGGTCACGGAACGTAGAAGGGGCTAAAGGGGAAGAGGAGCGTGTACGTTCAGCCCTGTTCCTGCTCGTCCAGGGGTTACGGTGTCGGGTGGCTAGGAGACTGCAAACTTTTATCGACCGTATAGTTTAGAATCGGCTTAACGTGGAATTTCCAATAAGATGTCTCTCGGACGCGTGCATCTCCAGGTCTCTGCATTTATGCTGATACGAACGAGCCGAGGCGAACGATTTTCTTTCTCCGTGCGCGGTTTTCAACTGTTGCATCCGACGATCGCGTTCGCATTTCCACTAGAAAACAAATTCGTGCTCGTTTCGTTACAAGACACGTATGGTATGAAATTTGGTCGGAGTAGGGAGCGAACAAGAACGAGCGATCATTGCCTCCTTGCAGTCGAAAGGTCGCTGAAAATGTAGAGATGGATAAAAGTATCGATGAAAAATCATCAACTTTGTAATCCAGTTGTCCCATAAGTCCTCACTTCTTAATGCGTGAAGGCTTTATTTCACCACCCTTCAGTTCTTTTTTTTTTTTTTTTTCTTTCCAAAAGTGATACACCAGATGTTAAAAATGTAAAACTTGAAACGCCTTGAAAAATCGCTGGAAATTCTTCTTACTGTATCTATCATGAACTTGAAGATTAAAGATCAATCCCTTAAAACTTGTTGTACGATATTTTCTCGCCATTGTATTGAACCTTGGACGTTAGGGTTTCAAGAAATCGTAACACTTTGTCATTTAACCCCAATGTTTTTAGAAAAAAGACACTTTAACAAATAGTTTAAAATACGGACAATTTTTCATCGAGCATGCAAACACTTTTGTCTATATCTGTACATCGAACAGCGTGCGTTTGACGCATACAGAAAATCCCAGCTTTACATAGCTCGCTTATTATTGAACGCAGCGGTTTGCGTCAGGCGCGTTGGATTTCAAGGATGAAATTAACACAAATAGGAGCAGACATTTTTTAAGAAATCTTATTCTTCTACACGCAATTTTCAAGCATTGCGCTCAGATTTATTTGTCACTTTTATACTTATATTTTGAAATTTCCTCTGATTATAATGTTACGAGTTTTTGTTCTTATTGTTCGTGTTTGTTGTTTTCTTTAACGATAAAATCGCTTCGAATAGGCCTGACATTTAACAACATATGTCTTGATTCAATTTAATTAATTGATTTAGTTAATGTCCCAATATCAGTGTCTCAACGTCTGCGTCAAAAATTGCATTTTACGCAATTTTCAAACGTTGCACTCGGATATATATATATTCGAAATGTAATTTATTTGTCATTCCTCTCCGTGAGTTACGAGTTTCGTCCTTGCTTCACAATCAAATCACTGCGACTGAACATTTAACAATTGACAGTACACGACGATGTATGTTTTAAGTTCAGTTTAATTCGAACGTTGCAAAACGTGTATGATCTCTATCCCGACAGGGATTTTTTGATTTTCGAACGGGACGCATTGAAAATCGTGCATGGGAAAGCAGAGACGTGCCGCCTCCACGTCGATTTGAAATATCGCGTCCAATTAACGTGCCTGCCTCCGACGCTTGTACATACAGAAACGTCTTTGGAGACGAACGACGTTCCTTTCCAACTTCGTTCTATTTGGACTAACCACGCGAACGCGTGGCATCATATCGAACCGGGGAGGGAGGGGGGTTGGGAATAGAAATTCGAATCGGAAATACTTTATCCCGCGAGAGGAGGGGTGGGGAGAGGAAGGGAGCAACGATGTCGTCGGATAAGAAGCACGAGGAAGAGTAGAAAGGTCTGGTTGAAGATGACGGTGATGCCGATGGGTATGATGCTAAGTTCGTCGTCGGTAGTCGAGAGGAAAGAAAAGTCGGCGACAAGATAGAGAGAGAGAGAGAGAGAGAGAGAGAGAGAGAGAGAGAGAGAGAGAGTGAGTGAGAGACCGTGGAGAAAGCGAGGTATGGAAGGTAACGGTTGGGGAAACGAGGCAAAAGGCAGACCGAAGAGTCCTCGAAAATGGCGCAAATGGCGGTAAGGGAGGGGTGCCACCCCGGAATGCCAGTAGGAAAAGAAGGGAAACATCCCCTCTTTCCTACATACTGTCGAAGAGCTTTTCGAACAGTCAACCTTTTCGGAGACGGGGGGAGGGGGGGGGGGAGGCGGCTAGAATGAGAGAGAATCCACCCCCGCGCGACGGAAGAATATTTTTAGATTTCCTATCCGTCCTTCGTCGCATCAGCCGTCCGACTGCCACCGGCACGCTGTCACGGACTACTCGCGTTTATGTGAAATACGCGGGGTTATGTGTGCGCGCGCGATGCGCCCCTCCTCCATGTCGCTCTCTGTTATTCCACATCCATTTCTCCTTTACGGTGGCCGCCTTACCACACACCACGGGGGATACCGCGCCGTTTTCTGCTTTGCCTCTTCTTGCTGCCTCGTCCCACGCCTCCTTCTGTTCGCTTCCCACGATTCTTCCTTATTATTCATACGAATTCCGTAATGGACTTATGGATAGACGGATGCGAGTGCCTGTTTTGTTAACCGGGGGGGGGGGAGGGACGAACCGCTTGAATCTGCGTGGGATGCGATCAAGTCCAACGTGCACTTATGAATTCGAGTCAAGCTCGATGCCCAACGTCCGATTCCCGATTTTCAGTGGTAATATACAGGTGTGCAAACACCCGGAGCCGTTGTATCATTGTAACACACTTGGGGTGTATACATAATAATTGGAAAATGTTTACACAATGTTTCTTTTTTATTTTCCTGTGAGAATGCGTCTATTTTGTACGTGCAAAATAGTTAGGTGTAAGAATTAGGGTCAATCTTGCGAGTTTCGATACAATTGTCGACAATCCTGAACATAATGTACATATAAACACTTGGAACTATGTGTATATTGTATTACGCGAAGTGCCATTTTATACAATTCAAGTTTGATATTCAAATTTCGTTGTAGTTCGATGTATGCAATTTGTACACTTCATCGAGTAAATTTTATACAAGTCACGTTGAGTATTTAAGTTTGAGTGTTTCAATTGTACATTTTATATTTCACGTGACATTTATATTTTATATTAGAATAGTATATAAAGTCGTTTTCTCGAATGATCAGTCACATCAAAGCAGAAGGAATTAAATCTCCTATGAACGTACATACGTTCAATGTCAAGAAGAGATATCGAGATTTCTTGTCGAACAACTACGAAATTTATAAATACAAAATAATTTCTATCAAAGCATCGAGTGAAGGTACAAATTAAAATTAAAATTTTATTAAAATTAAAATCTAGACGTGGAAAATAAAATGAATATTTACAATGGCAAAGATTCTAAGAATCTAAAAAGCACAAAAGGTAGACAGGTGTTATGGATATAAATTAGAAAAAGAGAGAGAGGGAGAATAAATTCATCGTATCGACAATTGTCACGCTGACCATTTCTATTTCTATTCGACGTTTATATACATACACACATACATATAGAATGATAGTGTACATGCACACGTACGTTTAGCGTAAGTAATATATACGTACATACGTATTTATTACGCCTGTTCCATGCGGGGAACAGTAATAGACCACTTTTCTCAATCCACTCGAGCTATGCTTCTCAAACCAGAGCAGTAGTAAATAAAAGTTACGGCTACCATCTTGTGTACTGCAAGTTACGGCCTCTAGCTGTTCGTCGTAACATTTCACCTTTTTGTTTATTCCAGTTCTCGATCTCTTTTTTAAAGCAAGACACAACACACACTTGCCCCCGTGACTTCATCCTTACACGCTGCTGTGCAAACATTTGATAATATTTGAGAGAAATGACTGTCACTATATTGCTACATATATTCATTTTGAACGTTTATATACTTTTCTCTTTCGTCATTAGTGCGTATCTCAATTTTATAGTACATTTAAATAGTAAATTTATTGAAACACACGTTTTCAATGGCTTCCAGTTATTTATTAATTCTTCGAAAATTTAAATGGCGATCGATTTGCACCAACGTTTGATAATAATTAACCCTTCAGCCGGGAGCGACAGCCGGGATTAATCATTCCTCCGAAGATGAGAGAGTTTGTTCGAATGGAAATATTAAAGACTAATTGTAAGACAAACTCGTCCGCCATCTTTAATTTAAATTCGTTAGACGACGCGGCGTTATTAGGAATGACGCTGGTGAATTTTAATTCTTCAATCACTTACAGTTATATAAAACTCTGTGCAGAACGGGATCTAACAGCGTTCGAAATTTCATATTAGGTCAGCTTTTTCAGCCCCACTTAAATTGATTTTATACCAAATTGTACAAATATGATTTGGAAAGTAAAAACCTTCGCGTACCAATTATTATATTACGGAAAGCGTCGTACGTATTTTTCAGCATTATGTTTGTAATTTTCTACATGCGCACGAAAGATTACTCGCAGATTATTCGTACGTTTCTTGAAAATAATTTTCAGTTTCAATAACAATAACTATCTTTCATCTCTCAAAATAGCAGTACTAACGTCACTTTGGCTCGTTTGATCGAAGTTTGAGCTTTCCCTAATTACGTCTGCGTTTCGCTACTTGCAAACATTCAATTAACGGCTGACAAATATCATTCGATCGGCACTTTTGGCTACCGAATTCTAAATAATTACACGCGTCTCTGACAACCGCAACAACCTGATGCTCTCACGGGGGAAACGGAACTAGGTTAAAATGAGAACGGCGCGAGAAAGAAGCGCGCGGTAAGCAATTTGATTTTATTCCCAGTTATATCGACGGGTAAACACTCGCTTAAAGCAGTCCTGCAAAACAGTCTATTGTTGCTGCTTTAGTTCGAGCACCGATTCACACAAAGATCTCTCGAGTTTCAAGGTACAGTTTTGCTTGCATTGTTCCAGGAAGCGGAAAGTGCCATCGGTGCCATGAATGGACAATGGCTCGGAAGCAGGAGTATTCGAACGAATTGGGCGACTCGCAAACCCCCAGCGCCGAAGTCCGAAGGTGAGTATTGACGCGTGCACACACACACGTGCCCCTTTTCCACGTCTTTATTGTCACACGAAAATGGTGCATGATTGCCGCTGCAATAAACGAGTCGCACGATCGAGAATCCACGGATGAATAGGTACCTATTTCTGACACTGATGTTAAATACGATTAGACACGTAGGGCAAAATAATATAGGGAAGATGACTTGTTTATGCGAATTCATATCAAAAGTTATAAATCGATGATATTATAAACAAGAAGGAATGAGATCTCGAGATAGTTAATTTCAGGAAACGACACTTGAATATTGGAGATGCAGCAAATATTTATTGTTCTGCCCATTGATTATATTATTCGCACATATGAAATATTCGAGGCTGCAGGTGTTGAAAATAACAAGTGTTTCTAAAAATTCATATTAAATATGGCACAGAGAACCATTTATGTGCATTTTGTCCATTTCCAGACTTTCGTGTGTTATAATTATACTACGAGAATAGACTGAAAAAATTAATCTCGATTAATTTCTACAATTCACTTTTAATTTTCAATCGTTTTCTGCAAGCCTTTTGCACTCCTTGTCATTGAAAAGAAGTTAATAAACAATTGTTTAAATACTTTTGCAATCTCTAAATGTAATATATTCGTATTAAACATCCTCTATATATATTTTTATAGATTTGTTTCAAACTTGACCAATATGATCGTAATAGTAAAAAAACGTTTTATAATATACACACATAACGCACAAATGTTCAAATATTTTCGTGAGGACGAGATTTGCAAATATAATGTGTGCCTCCAGTTAGTACGATTCAATTAAACTCAGTTATGCAAATTTTAGTGGAAATTTCGGTCTATTATTTGAGAACTTTTTGAAATTTAATACTTCATATCGAACGTTCGGCAATTGATAGAAATTAATATGAAATTCAATTCGGTTTTTGTAGGTTACGATATCTCTTGGTTTATGATATGGACTTTCCAGCTTCTCTATATTCAATTAAAGTTGTAACAGTGGTCAGTTTACAACTGAATGACAAAGATTATATCGAATGTATTTTCAAAAATGTGTTATTTGAATGTGCGGTAATAATAATAAAACGAAAAAGTAAAAGCGTTTAATATACAAGATATACAATTCATCCATTTTGATCGTCTTAAATTATTCTAAAACAACTTGTTGCATTTTTCTTTTTAACACTTCACCTGTTATCTCGCAGTTCTTTTTATAATACAATTAATATAATTGTTACAGTACAGTTAATAGAGTCAATTGATATCTACAAAGTTGCCAGATATGTGCAAAATTAACTATAAAAATAAATAAACCTTTGAAGATTGTAATATCACTATTTGATTTAATAAAATTACAGTACAACTCTGTGCTAGCGTATCGCGAAATGACATCTTGCTCGAACACATTGCGTCACTGGTTCACCTTTTTCTTTACCTTCCTTCGGAAGAACGTGAAATTATTAAGCTATGTGATATAACCAAGCTATATGATATAACATTGTCTGGTTGAGCGGCTGTTCCATTTAAAAGCACTCACGTCGGCATTGAACTGCGCTATTTAAGCACGTGCATTATATTGAGACTATTTACTGTCTCGAGTGTTCTTATTGTTGCGGAGTAACGAGCTTTGAGCCAGCGACTCTCGCGAACGGAATCAGATAAATAATAAATTGCATATAAACCAGCGCGCCATTAAGGTTGAATGTCACGGAACTCGGTTCATAACAATCTTCACGCGATAAGGATCATATTTGTCCGTTAATAAATTCGGATTGATGGGATTAATGGATATTTTTGTATTCGAGCATAGTTTTGTATTATCTTGTAATTTTTTTATATTTTTCGAGTATTTTTTTAAATATTTTGTATTTTCTGTTGTTCAGCTGAATAACAATGAGATTTTTTAACGTTTTGCACTCTGGTCTGGTGTTAGAATTTATCAGTTTCACGGCGGGTGACAAGGCTTGATAAATGAACAAATGAGCCTTATGATAAGAGACATTGTAAAAAGTGAGAAATGAACGCTCGAGAAAGAAAAAAAGCAGCGAGAATATCCAAGAATTGTCAAGGAAGGGATGTCTTGAGATTTGAGAACGTTGAAATTTCGAAGCTTTCATTTATAATCGAATCCATTTTGTTTTTACCGTGCTTGCCAAATTTTGTTTTATAATGAACTTTGGATAACTCTTGACTTAAATGATAAACTAAACAGCAACCTACAAGATTTTTGCACGATTTAATTCAATTATAAATTTACCAATTAGATTTTAGACAATTAGAATGATTTTACTTTTTATTATTATCGTATTCCAGAGTATTATAACTGATGATGAAAGTAATTTTGAGAATTCAGTATAGAATGAAGGTAAAATTGAAATGTGAAAATTTAGAAATCTAGAAATTTAGAATTATTACAAACGTATTTCACTTAAAACATTATAGTAATATTCATGTCTTTACTACGAATCGATCGACAAATTTAAATACTTCAAAATATGAGAATAGTAATATGGTGCATTATCTATTCGTAGGAATATTGTCAATAAAAATTGGAAGAGAATAAAACTTCCGTATAGAAGTACGAACCTAACCATATTGTGTGAAAATGATTGGTCATTGACATTATAAAAGAAATTCTTTGACCAGTGCCAAGTTGCTGGCTCGAGTCTCGGAGGTTTTGTCAGAACTCGAAAGATTGCCAGCAAGATTTCAAATGCTTTGGATTAAACGACAGGCTTCTAGCTACGATTGGCCTTGGCCGACATTTCAAAGCTTCAATTTTGCTGCTTTAATAAGTTAGGTTTCGCGAAGAAAATGCGGTAAACGTCCCTAAAAATTGTTGAACTTTTCGGAAACTTTAATTTAATCTCTCCTGGATCAAAAAACGTTCCAACACTTTTCCTTCTTCGTTCGCGAAAGTATTATCAACACTGTCTACGCGTTGCCTAAGAATCTATTAATAAATAAAATCAATGTTTTCTACTAATCAGATTAATTGCTACAATAAATTGTCGTAAAATCTCTCCTTGACTCTCAGGCTTAGGACCAATGTGGGTTGATACTTTGTTTTATTTAGAATTTAATATCCTTTCGATTTGTATAGTTTGATTTAAAAAATAAATAAAGATGACTTTGAAAAAAAATTTCGAGACACACACAAAAATATTTTGCCTCCTTTAAAAATATTAAACAGTTTTTCGTTGGACGCATAATTAAAAGGTTATATCAGCCGTGCAAGTCGCGTGAATCATCCCGTATGTATATAATACAGTGGCAGACGAAGGGAAAATTTCATTAACGAGTAATCATTTTTCCTGATGCGAGATTTAGAGGAGCCGGCCAACGAGGAATATTAAGCGTCGGGAAGGTGGCCGGCAAGAAAGTGTTCTCTGTGAATTTGGCCTATGCAAATAACGGGTGAACGGTCCCGGTAGGACGACGAGACGGCCAAGAGAGAGAGAGAGAGAGCCCTAGCTCGTCTAGTGAAAAAGTTTGGACGCTCCGCGACGAATACTAATTAAAGACTTGCGGAATGAAATTAGTTAGTCGAGGGGTCGGAGGTGGCTGCCAGGCTGGACGTTGGGGGGAGACCCCGCGGGTCGACGACGAAGAGCCGCTTATGATAATATAATAATACTTACTTGGCTCTCCGAGTGCTACCTCCAAGCTCATTATGCGTTTAGTTCATAACTTCAATTGGATTCTTACTATCCTGGCCGGTGGCTTGCAGCTTTTATACTTTTCGTCGGGGCTCTTTCCCTTTAACGCCGCTAATTATCAAGCTAATGACGATCATGCCAACGAACGTGTAAGTTTAAACCCGTTGCCCTATATATTACCTCGAACCACTCTTCTTTTCTTTTTTTTCTCTTTTTTTTTTTCTTTTTTCGCTGATTGTGAGTCGACTATCGGTTGCAACGTGGAAATATCTCAACTAGTTCCGATAGATTGCAGTAATTGTGTATATTTAATAATTGGTGTAATTGACGAATCTGGTAATTTGTTTGTGAAAAGGATAAAATTTCGTATATTACATACCGTATATAACGTAATGTTATATTACACGTTTTGAAAGTACGACATGTAAAAAGATATCGAAAAGTGACGAGAAAAGAAGTGTTTATATTGTATACCTTTGAATTAAAATCATTTATTAAATTAAAAGGCAGAATTCGATGTAAAATGTTCTGTTATTTGCATCAGTAGCCTCAAATTAAAGAAACATAGATATTCTGTGTTTGATTACGACCGCTTTGTTCAATACACAATCTTTCGTATGAATATACATAATTAATTTTTCTTTAGTATCGTTTTTATTTCAAAATTATAGTTGAATTTAGCGATAATACAACTATCAAGCTAATAGTTAATTTATAATTTAACGACAATATTAATAATCTATCTAATTTTTTGCAAGACACTCCTTTTTATACTTACAAGATAGATTGCGTACATGTAACAATGTTAATTCAATGAAAGAAAATTACAATAGCCCTGGATAAATCAAATATCTCTGATTGTCTGGATCGCTCGTGAATAGATAACGCGGACTAACCTTAAAACGGATGAATGCAACGTGGATGGATACCGATCGATGACGAGACGAAACGAGAGAGCTCGCGCAAAAATAATAGCGCGTAACACGGCCTACGTAAACAGGCGGAAATATTAAAAAGAGAAGAAACATTAAAAAACGAAGAAACGATGGGGACAAAAAAAAAAGAGAGGCAACGGGTTATAATAGATGCCCGCGTGTCTACAATTAATGCGAACCACTCATTCACGCTGCTTTATCGCGCCGTCTTTTTGCTTTCGTCTACTCGAATAGATTGCCGGTATACTGTACATCACGTTCACTCTCTTTATATTTACCAGCAGCTGCTAGATTCGATTTCATGCCTTCGGAGCATCGGAGGCGTTGTTTTTTTCGCGATTTAAACAGGCGACCTTAATATGTTAATCGTTCGGATCTAACCGAACGTTGCAACACGTGG